GTGCTTTTGAGAGAGAGAGGGAGAGGGTGTGTGCGTGCATATGGGAGAAGGAGAGTATGTGCATGTGGGAGACGGTGTGTGTCTCTCTCCCGCACTCACACACACTCTCTCTCACTCACACACACTTTCTCTCTCCCTCACACACACACACACACACGTGTGAATCTATGGGGTGAATTTGTGTTTGCAGATACATTCTATTTTGTTCAAAAAGCACACAATTTATAGACAGTCAGTCAATATGGCATTTTATAAATTTCTACTTTAGAAATAAAACCAGTCTGACTCCAAACCAAAACACAAACAGATTCTAAACAAGGCCTCACACCGAACATACATTGTCTGACCTAAAATGTCACCTCTTCTTTACACTGATAAACCCTTTAGTTCTCTCAGGACAGTGACTTGAAAGGAATTTTGGGGATTTACATATACATATTGATCAATTAAAACTTTCTAACTGATACAAAATTTAACAGTATCTTAGGTTTACTTAGTACATCTTCATCAATGGTGTGACCCTTTGATCTTTTATTTATAAATTCTGTGTCTGTTACTACCTCTCTCACTAACACCTGAAGGAGGACTGAGGCTCCGAAAGCTTGTGTTTTCAAATAAACCTGTTGGACTATAACCTGGTGTCGTGTGATTTCTGACTTTATCCAACCCAGTCCAACACCGGCACCTCCACATCATGTTCCAGAAGGATCTCTGACCTTGGTTTTTTTTATGGGAAGGCAACACCTTACAGAAATAACCAACTAGAAGGTTTCTAGTTTAAAACATCATTACATAACATTCATCACAATATTGTTTGTGATTATGTAGGACCCAGCACTGATCCCTCTGGTATTCCACTTACAGCTTGTCAATTACATCTACTGTCTGTTTCCTGTTAGCTAACAAATCCTTTATCCATGCTAATCTGTTACCCCCTTAAACCATACGCTGTTATCGTGGGAGAACAGCTGGAGGGAGAGAGGGAGGTGAGAGCTAGGATGGAGGGGTAGAGGGAATGAGGACAAGGAGTGAGTAAAGATGAAGGAAGAAGATGGAGCGGGGATGGATGGATAGAAGGTGCAGGGATTTAGAATGGAGGGAGTGAGGAAGGTGTGCGTGGGAATGGATTGGACAGAGTGAGGATGGAGGGGGTGATCATTGAAGGAGGGAGGGACTGGGATAAAGGCAGGGGTGGAGAAGGGAGACCGGGAGCTGGGCAGAGATGGAGGGAAGAAGGAGGACGGGATGGAGGTAGGATAGAGAGGGACCAAAGAGGAACAGATTGAAGAATGGATGGAGGAGGTTTGGAGGGATGAGGATGAGAGAGGGAGTGAGTGTGAGGGTGTGATAAAGGAGTGTGAAGGAGGAGAAAATGTAAGGGAAGAAATAAGGATGGAGGGAGTGAGGAATGGGTGTGGAGGGAGTGGGGATGGAAGAAGTGGAATGGAGGAAATGTTGAGGGGGGAATGACAGTGGGGAGGGAGTGAGGATGAAGTGAGTGTGAGGGAAACCATGAAGAAGGAGGGAATAGGGGTGGGATGTGAGGGAGGGAGTGAGATTGGGGAAAGTATGAGGGAAAGTGTGAAGATCTGAGAGAGGATGGGGAAATGAGAGGGACAGTGTGAGGTTGGAGATAGTGCCGGATGGGAGTGAGTGTGTGAGGGTGGAGGGAAGGATGAGAGTGAGTGTGTGAGGGAGGAAGTGAGGATGGAGGGAGGGAGAGATGAGAGTAAGTGTGTGAGGGAGGAAGTGAGGATGGAAGGAGGAAGTGAGGATGGAGGGAGGGATGGGTGTGAGTGTGTGAGACAGGAAATGAGAATGGAGGGAGGGAGGGATGGGAGTGTGTGGTATGAGGGATTGAGGATGGAGGAAGTGAGGGAAGGAATGAGGATGGATGGTGTGACAATGTAGAGAGTGCGAGGATAGAGGGAATGGAGATGAAGGAAGTGAGGATGGTGGGTCTGAGGATGAAGGGAATGAGGATGGAGGATGTAGGCCCAGTAATCTCGATGCACTAGAGATAGTAGGAACTGCAGATGTTGGAGAATCTGAAATAACAAGGTGTAGAGCTGGATGAACACAGCAGGCCAAGCAGCATCAGAGGAGCAGGAAGGCTGACGTTTCGGGCCTAGGCCCTTCATCAGAAATGCTTTTTTTCCGGAGATGCACTGTCTTCTGTTTGTTAACCAATTCTCAATGTACGCTAATACATTACCCACAATACCATTAAGGCCAATCTTGTGCAATAATCTTTTATGTGGCACCTTATCAAACCTGTTCTGAAATCAAATGAAGGGTCTAGGCCCGAAACGTCAGCCTCTCTGCTCCTATGATGCTGCTTGGCCTGCTGTGTTCATCCAGCCCTGCACCTTGTTGTCTCGGATTCTCCAGCATCTGCAGTTCCTACTATCTCTGAAATCAAATGCACTATGTCTACTGGTTCCCCTTAATCCCCTTTATATTATATCTTCAAAGAACTCTAGAAAATTTGTCAAACATAATTTTCCCCTCACAATACCATGTTACTCTGTTGGTTCGAAAGAAAAGTCACTGGACCTGAAATGTTAATGCTGTTTTCTCTCTCCACAGATGGTGTCGGAGCTGCTGAGTTTCTCCAGCCTTGTAGCAACCACAATTCTTGTCTTTTTTGACCATATTGACTCTGATTGATTGTTTAGCTTTTCAGAATGTCCCACTGTTTCTTCCTTAAATATAGACTCTAGCATTTTCCCAGAGAAAGTGTTAGGCTAACTGGCCTACAGTTTCCTGCTTTCAGTCTCCCTCCTTTCTTGAACAACACAATGTCAGTTTTGCAACCCAACAGAACCCTCCCAGAGTTCAACAAGTTATTTATTAGGAGTAAAAACAGAAGTTACTGGAAAAGCTCAGCAGGTCTGGCAGCATCTGTGAAGGAAAAAACAGGGTTAACGTTTCGGGTCTGGTGACTCTTCCTCAGAATTGATGGTGGCTGGGAAAATGTCAGTTTATATGCAGAAAATAGGGGGTGGGGATGGGGTAGGGAGTAACGATAGGATAGAGAGAGAGAAGAGCAGTTGGACAGACAAAGAGTTGATAACGATCAGGCTGGGAGGGTGAGTAGTTGTTAATGGGGACTGTTAGTGACTAACAACAGGGGGTGTGTAATGGCAGGCTATGTGGTAACAAGGCCTGATGTGTGGGGTGGGGGGCTGGGGCATGGGAGAGTTTAGGCCCTAAAATTATTGACCTCAATATTGAGTCCAGAGGGCTGTAGGGTCCCCAAGTGGAAAATGAGGTTCTTCCAGCTTGCGTTGAGCTTTGCTGGAACACTGCAGCAAGCCTGAGACAGAGATGTTGGCCAGGGAACAGGGTGGTGCGTTAATGTGGCAGGCAACAGGTAGTTCAGGGTCTGTTTTGCGAGCAGAACATAGGTGTTCTGTGAAGCGGTCACCCAGTCTACCCTTCTTTTCCCCAATGTAGAGGAGACCACATTGTGAGCAGCGAATGCAGTAGACTAGATTGTGGGAAGTGCAGGTGAAGTGTTGCTTCAGCTGGAACGTATGTTTGGGCCCTTGGATAGTGGGGAGGGAGGAGGTAAATGGGCAGGTGTTGCACCTTCGCCGGTTACAGGGGAAGGTGCCGTAGTGGGGGTGTTTGGGGTGAGGGAAGAGTGGACCAGGGAGTCCCGGAGAGAACGATGCCTGCGGAATGTGGACAAGGGAGGGGAGGGGAAGGGAATTAAGATTGGACTTAATGGTATTGTGGGTAATGTATTAGTGTACATTGAGAATTGGTGGCATCTCGCTGGAGGTGGCGGAAGTTCTTTATTAGCACTTTTAGGCCATCTGCTCCTGGTTTTGCTACCCTGCACTTCTGTTCAATCATTTCGATTTGATGTTTTTAAAACGTCCCTTCAACCCCTCACTAATTAGTTTAAAGCTTCATATAACTCCTTTGTTACAGAACTAGCCAGCAGACTGCGCTCAACATGGACCAAAGGAAATGTGAAAAATGAGGATGGAGGAAGTGAGGGTCGAGGGAATGAAGGTGGAATGAGAGTGAAGGAGCGAGGGTGGAGGTTGTAAGGGTAGAGGGGAAGGGTGGAGGGGGTTAGGTTGGAGGGAGTGTGGGTGGAGGGAATGAGGGTGGGTCTGGGAGTGGAGGGGGTAGGATGGAGGGAGTGAGTTTGAGGGAGTGAGGATGGAAGGAGTGAGGATGAATGGAATAAAGTTGGAGTGAGTGACAGTGGAGGGTCTAAAGGTGGAGGGGGTGAGGTTGGAGGCAGTGAGGGTGACAGAGTGAGACTGAAGGAGTGAGGATGGAGGGAGTGTTGGTGGGTCTGAGAGTGGAGGGGTAGGATGAAGGGAATGAGATGGAAGGTCTAAGGGTGGAGGGTGGAAGGTGTGAGGATGGAGGGAGTGAGGATGGAGGGTGTGTGAAGGAGGGAAGGTGGAGGGAGTGAGGGTGTGTGAGGGAGGGTGGAGGGAGTGAGGATGGAGTGTGTGAGGGATGGAGGGTGTATGAGGGAGGGAGTGAGGATGGAGTGTGTGAGGGAGTGAGGGTGGAGGGAGTGAGGATGGAGGGTGGAGGGAGTGAGGATGGAGTGTGTGAGGGAGTGAGGGTGGAGGGTGTGAGGGAGTGAGGATGGAGGGAGTATGTGAGGGAGTGAGGATGGAGGGAGTGTGTGAGGGAGTAAGGATGGAGGGAGTGAGGGTGGAGGTAGTGAGGGTGTATGAGGGAGGGAGTGAGGATGGAGTGTGTGAGGGAGTGAGGGTGGAGTGTGTGAGGGAGTGAGGATGGAGGGAGTATGTGAGGGAGTGAGGATGGAGGGAGTGTGTGAGGGAGTAAGGATGGAGGGAGTGAGGGAGCGATGGCGGGGGGAGGTGATGAAAATGCTCTTCCGCCAGAGGGCGGTGAACGCTGCCTGTATTAAAGATGGCGGTCCCAGCTCTAATGGTCACAAGATGATACTGGGCATGCGCGATTCCCGCACCGACTCCATTTAAACACCGTGACCAGCACGTGACCTGAACAACTCACGTGATTCTCCTGTGATCAGAGGAACCTGAGGTGAGGGAGTGCGAGCAATGGTGGAGGGTGAGGGCAAACGGGTTAGGGGGTTAGGGGGTAAGGGGGAAAGGGGAGAAAGGGGAGAAAGGGGGGGAAGGGGGAAGGGGGGGAAGAGACAGAGACAGAGACAGAGATGTTTGAGGTATGTATTGGGGGCTAGGGGCTGTGAGGAACTGGTGTGTGTGTGTGTGTAATACATACATGAGAGGGAGAGGGAGAGGGAGTGGGAGTGGGAGTGGGAGTGAGTGTGTGGAACTAGACATGGGAGTAACTAAGGATTGATTGGAAAGAAACCTTGCATCATTGTTTATCTTTGTTGTGGTCAGGTTGGAGTTTAACAAGGAATTTACCTCCTGGCGAGAGAGTGAGAGGGTTCCTGTTTCACACTCTGCAGCCAGGCATTTGGCCTGGTTCAGTCTGCATTCGAATTCACTGAAGATAGGTCTGGCTGAGGGAGGTTCTGTGGAGGTGACGCTGCAGAAAGGTGGCACTAACATCACGGCTTCGACCATCTGCAGACAGCTCTGGTTCAGCTGAGAAACTACAGTGAATATAGCAAGCCTTGCACTGGGAGCAGTCAAGGGGGATGAGGTAGCAGAATGGGAACAAACTACACCGAAGGTGAGTGCTTGCTGTAGTCCTTTCCTTGTTTTTAATGTTATTAAACTGGTCTGCTTATTGGAAAATTCCTGAAGTGATTCATTTCCTTGACACTTTACCGCTCAATCAGAAGGTTTAGCACTGACCCTCCGACAGTGTGGCACTCCCTCAGCACTCAGGCAGTGAGTTCCCAAAACCACAGCCCCCTGTGTTTAAAATCATTTCCTCAAATTGCCACAGAAACTCCCTGCTCCTTCAAACTGTGGCCTTTGGTTATTGACCCCTTGACTATATGGGAAATATTTCTCTCTATCTACCCTGCCTCTGCTCCTCAGACGTTGGTGCACCTCAGTCGAGGTGAGTTGGTTGGTGAATGTTGACCAAACCTGCAACACGCTCACATTGTGAATCAGTTTTTAATAATTATTAGCTTGCTGAGCTCTATGGCTGGGTGGTGCATTTGAATGTTCTACCCCCTGAGTGTCTCACAATAATCAGATAGGAGCAGCAAGGAGAATGCTGGTCTTGATTGTGGGAGGATAGAGTAAAGAAGTTACACAAGGCTGTCAGCAAGACTGGTTTACAAGACCTGTGCAGTTTCAGTCTCCCAATTTGTCGGGATAGATCTGCATTGGATGCAGTTCCCAGAAGTTTGAGCAGACTGTGCTGGTATCCCGTTGGAGGGTTTGTCTTAGGGTGGGTGCCAAGAGGTTTCCCTTCATCTGTGAGATTAGATGCTGTTCACAAACGAGGGCCTGTCAATGGGGGCGTGGGGTGAGGAGGCATTTCTGGGAATCAGGAGTCTGTGGAACCTGTCCCCTGAGATATTAATGGACCAGGACTGAGGGGATGAGTAGCCTAATCCTACCTTTTCACATCTTCAGGAGGATACAGAGGTAGGAATGTAGGGACTAGAGTGAGAGTAAAGAGATAAGTGGAAGATAGGAGTGGGAGGCGATGGCCTAGTGGTATTATCACTGGACTATTAATACAGAGACCCAGACAATGTCCTGGGGACCCAGGTTCGAATCCCACCACTTGCAGATGGTGGAATTTGAATTCAATAAAATATCTGGAATTAAGAATCTAATGATGACCATGAATCCATTGTTGATAGTCGGAAAAACCCATCTGGTTCACTAATGTCCTTCAGGGAAGGAAACTGCCATCCTTATCTGGTCTGGCCTATGTGTGACAATTAGGGATGGGCGATAAATGCTACCTCCCCAGCTATGCCCTCATCCCGTGAATGAATTTAAAAAAAAGTAGGCCATTCATTCTTTCACTGAGATCGTGGCTGATCTTATGTTTCTCAACTCCAGTTTCCTGCCTTTCCCCCTTACGCCTTTATTCCCCTCCTGTTAACAATCTGACTATCCCAGCCGTCTGTGGTAAAGAATTCCACAGATTCACTCTCTCTGAGGGAAGAAATTCCTCCTCCTCTCTTTTCTTAAATGTGCAACCCCTTATTCTGAGATTTTGCCCTCTGGTCCTAGATTGTCCCATACAACCTTTCCACATCTATCCTACAATTCCCCTAAGAGTCTCGTGTGCTTCAACCTAGGGGAAGGGTGTAAGGCTGAATGAGGATACAGAAAGTGAGAGAGAGAGAGTGAGTATGTAGGGACTAGAGGAAGTTTCAGAGGACAGGGTTGTAGGTTGGGACTGGGGTAGTTTACAGAGTAGGGTGTCAGGAGGTTACAGAGAGGGAGACAGGGTGTATGGACTGGAGGTGGTGAGAGATGGTCATGGGAATTTCGATTTGGATGAATGTCTATTGGCAGGAGCGGGGGCGTGGTGGGAGGGATCTCCTTGCTGGGTGAGTGAGACCCGGTGTCTGTCTGTCTGTCAGTCAGGGTGCAGGAAGCCGTGTGCCAGCTGGCAGGATCTGCTTTCGTTTGCTGTGATCACGTCCCTCCGAATGAAAGTGCAAATGAATTTGGAGATTCAGGTTTTACACCTGAACGGTTGGGCCTGGGCCCGCTCAGGAGGAAGTTCCTGTGGCTGTGGTTAACTGGTCTTCGCAATAAGGAAGCTGGTTTCTCGCTCAGAGAGATTCTCCTCTTCACTAAAAGGGCTTGTACATCTGCCTTTCTCATGGGTCCCAATGGCAGCTGTGTTTTCAGCTCGATGGTATGGAATTCCCTCCTGAGACATCTCCACTTCCCCTTCCTCATTTAAAACCCTATAGCTTTGATCATTGAGTGAATAATCCTCTCCAACAGCCGATTACAACAGCAGTGTCTGTCCTAGAGATTGATACGCTACATTCTTCGCCGTGTTTGTGTGCTGACTACAGCGCCCAGTTAGTGGGGGGAAAAAAAGCACTTTGTAATCAAGAGACAGTAAGGACTACAGATGCTGGAAGCACGAATCAATAACATGGAGCTGGACAAACATAGCAGGTCAGACAGCATCAGAGGAGCAAGAAAGTCGATGTTTCAGGCCGGAACCCTCTGTTATTACTTGTAAATTCGCAGAGTAATGCAGGATGGAAACGCCCTTTGGCCCAAACTGGTCCATGCTGGCCATGGTGCCCACTCAGCTAGTTCCAATTGCTCGCATTTGCTCCATAATCCCTCTTAAACCCTGCCCATCCAAAAGTTTTTTAAATGTTGCTGCTGTAGGGCATTTCTAGGGCAGCCATTCCATTTATGCACCACTTTCTGTGTGAAGAAGTTGCCCCTCAGGTCCTTCTTAAATCTTTTCCCCTCTCACTTGTCTTTTAATTATTTAGCAAGTGTAGAATACAGACACAAATATTTATCTCACTGTGGATTGTAGGAGTTTGCTGTGCCCTAGGGTGTTTTAAAGGAACGTGGATTAATCAAAAGAACATCTGGACACTGATAGAAATGAAATTGAAAACACGTGTGGTGTTTCTCACTGGCCCCTGGGAGCAGGGCCCCTGTAACTGAGTGACTGGCCTCTGCACACTTTGTGTCCTTGGGGGTGGCTGGGTGAGAGTGGGGAGGGAGTCGTCCCTCTACCTGAATTTAAAAAAAAACAAAAGAATGCTGCAGATGCTGTAAATCAGAAACAAAAACGGAAGTTGCTGGAAAAGCTCAGCAGGTCTGGCAGCATCTGTGAAGAGAAATCAAGGTTAATGTTTCGGGTCCAGTGACCCTTCCCCAGAGTGGTTGTGAGGAAGGGTCACCGGACCCGAAACATTAACCTTGATTTCTCTTCAGAGCTTTTTCAGTGACTTCTGTTTTTGTTGCTGATTTTCTGAAGAAGGGTCCTGACCTGAACTGTCAACTTTCCTGCTCCTCTGATGCTGTGTGGCCTGCTGTCTTCCTCCACCTCAATACTGTCATCTCTGACTCCAGCATTGGCAGTTCCTACTATCTCCGTACTGATAATTGCCCTGTTTTGTCTTGTGCCTTGACCAGCTCAGTGACCCAGTGAGAATAACTTTGCAGCAGTGAGCTGCTCATCTATATCTATCTGACTGCCCTCGAATTTTAACCCTTTGAGGGGTTTCGAACCCAGCGCAGTGTGAAAGGGAGACCACCTACTTGTGAAGCAGTTTCTTCACTTTAAAACTCTCCTCCTTGTTTCCACGTTCCTCCATATCCTTGCACTCCCCCACCCCTTCTTCAATTCCTCTAGCCTCTCGACTGTCCTAGACCTCTCCTCGTTTTATTCCATCCCACTGGATGCGATGCCTTCAGCTGCCTGGGATTCCCTCTGTAAATCCCTCTGCCTGTGTCCGTCTTTCCTCCTCCGAGCAGCTCGCTACCCCTTCAGTAGCTTTAGGGCAGGGCAAGAATAGTGTTGTGGTAATGCAGCAATTCAGAACGCGAGGCCAGCGTTCAGGTTCAAATCCCACCATGTCCAAAGGTGTCATTTCTAAAATCCCGGATTCTACTGAATTGAACTAGTTTAGAAATGACTTCACTTAGGCAGCAGTGATCCTGTGGAATTCTCTGCCACAGAAAGTGGTTGAGGACAAAACGTTTGAGTGTTTTCAAAGCAGAGGTCGTTATAGTTCTCAGGGCTAAAAGGATCAAAGGAGCAAAAGTGGGAACGGGGGACGGAGCTGGATGATCAAACTCGAATGGTGCAAAGACTGGCTTATTCCAGCTCCTATTCTCCTCGTTTCTCTATAATGGCGACTGTGGTACAGTGTCACAAGCAACAGCGGTGACCGGAAAGGAGCACATTGCTAGGACCCCAGGACAATGTCGGACTGGAGAAGCAGAGAGGATGCGGTCTACAGAGTGGGAAAGATGAACTGTTGAAGCTATATTGGTTTTAGTAATATTGGTTTCATATTAATTTATTCAGTATTTTACCATTTAAGTAATTTACTCAGTAATTTATTCTGTAATCCAGGGTGACATTATCCGCTTTTCCCTGTACCTAGGTACAAGTGACAATATTAAATTAAATATAAATCTTAAAAACCCATCTGGGTCTCTAATGTCCTTCAGGGTATGGAATTGGCCATCCTTACTCAGCCTGGCCTACATGTAACTTCAGACGCACAGCAATGCAGTTCCCTCTCAATTGTCTGAAACAGCTGAGCAACACGGTCCGCTCAAGGGTGACTGGGGATAGGTCTGACCAGAGATGCCTGTGGTCCTGTACAAGAAGCTGGAGTTCACCTGCCTAATGTCGCCCTTTCTACCTGCGGAACGTTGTTTCTGAGACTCGCTCTTGTGCTTTTGAGGTGTTTGAAGGCGTGGGTGGGTGACGGGTGTTTGGAGCGGAGCGGGGTGGGATGGATTCATGTCTGTAATGTAGCGAGTCATTGCTGCCCTCTGATTTGTACCCCCCACAGCTTTCTCCGTCGCACTGATCGATGCGGCGTTTGACAAAGATGAGAGTGTCCGGCAGGAGATCTCTCAGGCTCTTCGGGAGCTCGGTTGCAGCCACCCTCGCCTCGTTCTTCTCGCTTGTCACTCCTACCTCAGCAAACATAGTAAGGTAGGTCCTGGGCTTGAGCCCCCAGCCTCTTCCCAGCTCAGACAATGCTGCCATCCCCTTTCGCGCACACCACTTTCTAAAACAATCCCCCAGCCCCATTGTGCCCGAGCTGGCTCTCTCTATCTGCGAATCTCCCCGTGAATTCCTCACTCCTCACCCCAGCCTCGTTCTCTGAGCCCTGCATGTTTTACGGGAGAGGCCCTTTGGCCCATCGACTCTGTACTGCCAAAAACACACTACCCCCTATTCAAGCCCTGTTTTACTGCTTTTGCCCCATTGGCTGGAAGGTTATGACACTGTAATTGCTTTTATACTTTATAAAGTTTTTGACGTCTCCTGCCTCAACTCTCCGCCCAAGGCGCCAACCACTTCCAATCTGGGCGTAAAATCCTTTCCTCAAATCCCCTCTAAACCTCTTGCCTTTCACCTTAAAATGATGCCCTGCAGTATTGACCCTTCAACCAATGGGGCAGCTGCTTCCATGTCCCTCTGAGACTGATCACCTCTCAGTCTGAGCTCTACAATCTCTCTCGCGGTCTGTCTTTCTCTCACTCTCTCTATCTCTCTAGTTGCTACAGGGCCATCGCATCGTCATACTCCATACTATGGAGGCCATCGTCAAGGAAACCATCAGCCAACTGGACCAGCCCCTGGCCAAGATGATCATTTCCTTGGCTTCAGAAGAAATGACCAAGTTGAAGGCAAGTACTCCCCATGTCCATTCCAACAATTACCTCCCCACACCCCTTCTCCCCCCACCCCACTCAAGAATCTTCTATGTTGATCTCGGCTCCATTTTTGTGTGTGGATGGTGTTTCAGGCGTGGGGTCTGTTGCCACACATCTCTACCTTCAAATTCAGAACATTACATGTTCCCATCTCACTGCAGAGACTAGAGCACAAAGGCTGACTTAGCCCAGCTCAGTGCTGGGGGAGGCTCAGTGCGTGTGTGCTAGAGGTGTCTGTCTGTGTTTGGGGTGGG